CAGGCGGATGTCTAGCATGAGCATTTGTTGAGGATGTCTCGAGCGAGACGCTTGTTTGCACGTGTCCAGGTTGCCCAGGCGGATGTCTAGCATGAGGATATGCTGACAATGAGCGAAACGAGTGGTTTCACGTGTCCAGGTCGCCAGGTCGCCCAGGCACAGCACAGCCCTCGGCACGGTACATCAATATCGATACCCTGAGCATTGCAGCCTGGCATGTTGCCTGGCACGTTCCGCGGAGCGTCCCGTGGCGAGTCCACCTGGCACGTCGCGCGGTGCACGTCCATTGGCACGTTCCGTAGCGCGTCCCCTTGGCACGTCCCGCGGTGCGTGCCCATGGCACGTCCCCTGGCACGTCGCCTGGCGCGTCCCTTGGGACGTTCCGCGGCGCGTCCTCTTGGCATGTTCCCTCTGTCGATTAGTTCTGGGGCAGCTACCATCTGCTCAGGCAGCTCGAGCTTACGATCCAGATCAGTTCGGTGAGGACTCGGATGCCAGGGAGGACTCGATCCACAACGCTATACAGAGCACAATCGCGGCATGGCACATCGCAGTTCAGCACGGCCCAGCACAGCACAGCCGTCGGCACGGTACATCAAGATCGATACACTCAACTATGCACCTTGGCACGTTCCTTGGCGCGTTCCTTGGCGAGTCCACCTGGCACGTCGCGCGGAGCGTCCCCTGGCACGTCCCTCGGCACGTCCACTGGCACGTTCCGTAGCGCGTCCCCTTGGCACGTCCCGCGGTGCGTGCCCATGGCACGTCCCTTGGCACGTCGCCTGGCGCGTCGCTTGGGACGTTCCTCGGCGCGTCCTCCTGGCATGTTCCCTCTGTCGATTAGTTCTGGGGCAGCTACCATCTGCTCAGGCAGCTCGAGCTTACGCTCCAGATCAGTTTGGTGAGGACTCCGATGCCAGGGAGGACTCGATCCCCAACGCTATATAGAGCACAATCGCGGCATGGCACATCGCAGTTCAGCACGGCGTAGCACAGCACAGCCCTCGGCACAGTACATCATCATCGATACATTCAGCATTGTATGTGCCCGTCGCCCAATCAGGTGTCTTTGAAATGTTGCAATGCCTTACATTTCTAGATTCCTTTCCGGGTTCGTGGGTCGATCATGTTTTTTCCCGGAAAGGGCGCGGGCCCAGGGTTCTCTTTTAGCCGTTTACCCCCGGATCTGACGGGTCAAGCGCCGGCGAAATTATTTGCGATAAATAACGAGGTAAAGTGCTGATTTTTTTAGAAAAAGTGCGTTTTGTGCGTGCCCGCTCGAGGAAAGTTCGCCCCCCATCTCGGATCCTCGATAAATAACGGGGTCCGCAGACCCCCGCTTTCCCTCGTAAAAAAGAGGGTGCGGAGCGTTTTTCGCAGAATCCTCGAAAAATAACGGGGTCTGGAGCCCCGACCGCGACTCGGAAAAGCGCCCCGCGCGCAGGAATTCCGAGGATGTCTCGCGCGTGCCGCGTCCCGCGCGCAGGAATTTCGAGGATGTCTCGACTAATTCGCTTGTTTTGTCAGGATTTCTTAGAACTTTGGCAGGATGTCTCGAGCGAAACGCTTATTTTACATAGTTTGTGGAGGATGTCTCGAGCGAAACGCTGGTTTCCGCAAAATTTGGAGATGTCTCGAGCGGGGGGCCAGAATTCAGAGGATGTCTCAGGCGAAATGCTTGTTTTCGTGTCCCGCTCGCGGGAATTCCAAGGATGTCTCGCGCGGGCCGCGTCCCGCGCGCAGGAATTTCGAGGATGTCTCGACTAATTCGTTTGTTTTGTCAGGATTTCTTAGAATTTTGACCGGATGTCTCGAGCGAAACGCTTGTTTTTCATAATTTGTTGAGGATGTCTCGAGCGAAACGCTGGTTTCTGCAAACTTGGGGATGTCTCGAGCGGGGGCCTCGTGGGGGGCCAGAATTCAGAGGATGTCTCAGGCGAAATGCTTGTTTTCACGTCCCGCTCGCAGGAATTCGGAAGATGTCTCGCGCGTGCCACGTCCCGCGCGCAGGAATTTTGAGGATGTCCCGTAGCGCGTCCCCTTGGCACGTCCCGCGGTGCGTGCCCGTGGCACGTCCCCTGGCACGTCGCTTGGCGGGTCCCTTGGGACGTTCCGCGGCGCGTCCTCTTGGCATGTCCCCTTGTCAATTAGCTCTGGGGCAGCTACTATGTGTTCAGGCAGCTCGAGCTTAAGATTCAGATCAGGACTCGGATGCAGAGGAGGACTCGATCCACGAGGCTATAGAGCACAATCGCGGCATGGCACATCGCAAGTCAGCACGGCGCAGCACAGCACAGACTTCGGCACAGTACATCAAGATCGATAGACTCAGCATTGCAACTTGGCACGTTCCTTGGCACGTTCCGTGGGGCGTCCCTTGGCGAGTCCCCCTGGCACGTCGCGTGGCGCGTCCCCTGGCACGTCCCGCGGCACGTCCATTGGCACGTTCCGTAGCGCGTCTCCTTGGCACGTCCCGCGGTGCGTGCCCATGGCACGTCCCTGGCACGTCGCTTGGCGTGTCCCTTGGGACGTTCCGCGGCGCGTCCTCCTGGCATGTCCCCCATGTCGATTAATTCTGGGGCAGCTACTATGTGTTCAGTCAGCTCGAGCTTAAGATCCAGATCAGTTCGGTCAGGACTCGGATGCAAAGAGGACTCGATCCACAACGCTATCTAGAGCACAATCGCGGCATGGCACATCGCAGTTCAGCACGGCGCAGCACAGCACAGATTTCGGCATGGTACATCAAGATCGATACACTCAGCATTGCAACTTGGCACGTTCCGTGGGGCGTCCCTTGGCGAGTCCCCCTGGCACGTCGCGTGGCGCGTCCCCTGGCACGTCCCGCGGCACGTCCATTGGCACGTTCCGTAGCGCGTCTCCTTGGCACGTCCCGCGGTGCGTGCCCATGGCACGTCCCCTGGCACGTCGCTTGGCGTGTCCTTTGGGATGTTCCGCGGCGCGTCCTCCTGGCATGTCCCCCTGTCGATTAGTTCTGGGGCAGCTACTATGTGTTCAGGCAGCTCGAGCTTAAGATCCAGATCAGTTCGGTCAGGACTCGGATGCAAAGAGGACTCGATCCACAACGCTATCTAGAGCACAATCGCGGCATGGCACATCGCAGTTCAGCACGGCGCAGCACAGCACAGATTTCGGCATGGTACATCAAGATCGATACACTCAGCATTGCAACTTGGCACGTTTCCTGGGGCGTCCCTTGGCGAGTCCCCCTGGCACGTCGCGTGGCGCGTCCACTGGCACGTCCCGCGGCACGTCCATTGGCACGTTCCGTAGCGCGTCCCCTTGGCACGTCACGCGGTGCGTGCCCATGGCACGTCCCCTGGCACGTCGCTTGGCGCGTCCCTTGGGACGTTCCGCGGCGCGTCCTCCTGGCATGTCCCCTCTGTCGATTGGTTCTGGGGCAGCTACCATCTGCTCAGTCAGCTCGAGCTTAAGATCCAGATCAATGCGGTCAGAACTCGGATGTCAAGGAAGACTCGATCCACGACGCTATGTAGAGCACAATCGCGGTATGGAACATCGCAGTTCAGCACGGTGCAGCACAGCACAGCCCCTGGCACAGTACATTAAGATCGATACATTCTGCATTGCATTTGCCCGTCGCCCAATCAAGTGTCTTTGAACAGGTGCCATGCCTTACATTTCTATATTCCTTTCCGGGTTCGTGGGTCGATCATGTTCCTTTGATCGAGTTGTCGTCACCATTCGGATCCATCGTACTTCGATTTGCATTCGTTTGCGCTCCTGTCTCACTGCGCCGGTGGAAGCATCTGCATTCTCCTATGCAGCATTGCTTGTCTACTTGCTCTTCGATTTCTTGCTCTCCCAGCTTCGTTACCCGTGGTGACGGGGAGTCGCCCGGGAGTGCCGAAGCGTTTTTGGGGGGCGCGCCCTGGGCCCGATAAAGGCGGGTAGACACCCCTGAGCACCCTGCGTCTGCCAGATCTCCTCCCGCTTCGGGCCCACTCCTCCTCCTCCTCCTCCTCCTCCTCCTCCTCCTCCTCCTCTTCCTCCTCCTCCTCCTCCTCCTCCTCCTCCTCCTCCCCCCTCCCCCTCCTCCTCCTCCTCCTCCTCCTCCTCCTCCTCCTCCTCCTCCTCCTCCTCCTCGACGTCTTTTGGCCTCCCCTCGGGGCCTCGTGGGCCTCCCCCTCCCCCCGCCGCCCCAGCAGCTCCGGAGGCCACGCCGCAGCGACCAGGGCGGCCCGTTCGTTTACTCTGGCGACCCCTGGGGTGGCCGTGCCGTGGGGCGTGCTGTTCTCACCTCCCGGGGCCCTGTTCTGCACGCGCGAAACGGGTACTGAAAGACTGGGTACAATGCCCAACAGCGGATCTTGTTCATTTTGGACAGGGCTCGCTGTCCACGCCGCCGCGGCCTGTGTCCATTCGAGACAGGAGGCCGCCTGCCCAACAGCCGCCGCTGTCGGTTTGGGGCAACATTTGCTGTTGGGCATTGTACCCATTTTTCGGTGCCCATTTTGGGCGTCCAAACCTGTGCTCCGAGCCCCCTCGCCTCGGAGCTGGCCACTCACGGAGGCGAAGTCGCCTCTTTCCTTTGCGCTGCAGGCTTCCTGTTGTCGGAGATTCCTGTCTCAAGCCGTGCTGGCATCGCTGCCATGGGCTCGTAGTCCTCTCCAGGTCCACGGCTTTCGCGTTCCAGAAGAACTCTTGTCAGTTTGTTCAGAGCCGTGACGTTTGGGTCTTGCCGTTGCCAGCATCACAATGCATCTGACGACATCACATCATCGTCGTCGGACTTCTCGAGGATTGGAGCATTGCTGTTTTCGTTTTGTCTCACGAGCGACCCACAGGCCTCCAAGATCGGTCTCAAAGGGCCCTCCGAGGGTCCCCAGCTGGCTCCAGGAGGCCAGGAGTTCCCCGGGACTCCCGAGGAGGCGCCACGAGAGCTCTACGTTTAAGTCGGGCCTGTCCTTCTACAGGGGGAATATCCTCAAAATGCGGAAAAAATAGTCCGGGGACGATTTGTTGACTACTTTTGAGCATTTTGGGAGTATTTTCTGAGTACTTCCAATTTTTCGCTCAAAATCCCCCTGTAGGGGGACAAGCCCGACTTCACTCTACGTGTGTCTCAAGAGTTCCAAGAAGGCCCTCCGCAGCCAATTTGATTCGAGTCGTTGGCATTCCGTTTTGCCCGCGCACAAGCACCTTCCTTCATACATCAGTTTATACCGGACTTGCATAGCGTCCTCTCGCCCAGGTCGCTGGGATGCCGGCCGCTGGGAAGGCACAGTGGACCACATATGCGGTGGCGCTGCTCGTCCAGGGCGTCCCCAGCGTGACCGCCTTGGTGGTGCAGGTGTCGCCAGGAAGAAATCGGGCGTTGAGGGAAACAGGTCCGCGCGTTTTGCGCTTCCCTTGACCCCCCAGGCACTCTTTGGAGCCTCGGGGCGATCAGACAGCGACTCGGGACCAGACGCGGATCCCGGGGCCCCTGGGTCCGGGGCCCGTTTCCTTCGGGACCCGCTTCTCTCATGCAAGAGGTTGGCGATGGCGTCCACCGCGACATCTCCCAACACAGCGCCTCGCGCACGACTGCCCAGGCGCAGGTTGCGCCGCTCGACGGCGTCCTCGTGGACATCGGCGCTACGGAGTGCCCTGCCGGGTACAGGGTCATGACCGAGACCGAGTGCTCCTATGGCGTTCACGTCAATGGGGCGGATATCACGACTTACAGCCACAGCGGTTGCTATCATGACAATGGTGGTTGGCCGGCGCAGGGCTGCTTTCTTAACGCCGGGAGTTCTACAGCAACGGTTGGCTGGTTGTACTACAGCACCTGCACTGAATACAGTGCTTTGTCCAAGAACAACGCCTACGGCATCTGTACGGCTGTCCAGGAACTCTTGATCACCGTGCGGCCGTCCCAATGGCTGAGTTTGTTGGAAGTCACGGCGTACGATGCGGCTGGCAACACGGTCGCAGCCCTTGGGGCGTCGATGTCTTCTACCAAGTATTGGTATCGTCCCGCTTCCCATTGTATCGATGGGAATCTCGGAACGTGGTGCCATTCTGACCTGGGTGGATCGTTGAAGATCACGTACCCGACGACCACTATTTCGCGCGTTGTCGTTGATAATTTTATGACTTATCCGTACAGAATCCAGGGAGCTTCACTTAATTTGTCCCTTGGCGGGCAGACGTTGTGGTCAGAGCAATTCTCCGGGATACACGCGTCGTATGAGTTCGTGGAGCCAACGCCCAGCCCGACGCCTTTCCCGACGCCTTTCCCGACGCCCTACCCGACGACCTACCCGACAGCCTTCCCGACGCCCTACCCGACAGCCTTTCCAACGCCTGACCCGACGTTGAGCCCGACTCCAGACCCGACGCCTTACCCGACGGCTTTCCCGACGCCTTTCCCGACGCCATACCCGACGCCATACCCGACGTTTTTCCCGACGCTTTTCCCCACGGCTTTCCCGACGCCTTACCCGACGCTGTACCCGACGCTTTACCCGACGTTTTACCCGACGCCTTTCCCGACAGCTTTCCCGACGGCGAGTCCCACGACCAGCCCCACGCCCAGCCCCACAGCGAGCCCCACGCCCAGCCCCACGGCCAGCCCGACGCCATATCCGACGGCCTTCCCAACAGCGTTTCCGACGCCTTACCCGACGGCCTTCCCGACAGCCTTCCCGACACCGTACCCGACAGCCTTCCCGACGGCCGACCCGACGCCCAGCCCAACGGCCTTCCCGACGCCGTATCCAACGGCCTTCCCGACGCCATACCCGACGGCCTTCCCGACGCCGTACCCTACGGCCTTCCCGACTTTGTACCCGACGGCCGATCCGACGCCACACCCGACGGCCTTCCCGACGCTGTATCCGACGGCCTTCCCGACGCCGTATCCGACGGCATTCCCGACAGCGTTTCCGACGCCGTACCCTACGGCCTTTCCGACGGCCGAACCGACGCCCGACCCGACGGCCGACCCGACGTCTTACCCGACGGCCTTCCCGACGCCATACCCGACGGCCTTCCCGACGCCGTTCCCGACGCCGTACCCAACTTCCTTCCCGACAGCCGACCCGACGCCACACCCGACGGCCTTCCCGACGCCGTATCCAACGGCCTTCCCGACGCCATACCCGACGGCCTTCCCGACGCCGTACCCTACGGCCTTCCCGACTTTGTACCCGACGGCCGATCCGACGCCACACCCGACGGCCTTCCCGACGCTGTATCCGACGGCCTTCCCGACGCCGTATCCGACGGCCTTCCCGACAGCTTTCCCGACGCCGTACCCGACGGCCGACCCGACGCCCGACCCGACGCCCGGCCCGACGGTGGACCCGACGTTTTACCCGACGTCGTTCCCGACGCCATACCCGACGGCCTTCCCGACGCGGCGGTGCGTCTTCGTGGCACGTCCCTTGGCACGTCGCCTGGCGCATCCCTTGGGACGTTCCGCGGCGCGTCTTCCTGGCATGTTCCCCTGTCACTTAGCTCTGTGGCAGCTACTATGTGCTGAGGCAGCTCGAGCTTAAGTTCATATCAGTTCGGTCAGGACCCCGATGCAAAGGAGGACTCGATCCACAACGCGGCATGGCACATCGCAATTCAGCACGGTGCTGCACAGCACAGCCCTCGGCACGGTACATCAAGATCGATCCTTTCAGCATTGCGTTTTGCCCGTCGCCTAATCAGGTGTCTTTGAAACGTTGCTATGCCTTACATTTCTATATTCCTTTCCGCGTTCGTGGGTCGATCATGTTCATAATTTGTTGAGGATGTCTCGAGCGAAACGCTGGTTTTGCAAACTTGGGGGATGTCTCGAGCGGGGGCCTCGTGGGGGGCCAGAATTCAGAGGATGTCTCAGGCGAAATGTTTGTTTTCACGTCCCGCTCGCAGGAATTCCGGGGATGTCTCGCGCGTGCCACGTCCCGCGCGCAGGAATTTTGAGGATGTCCCGTAGCGCGTCCCCTTGGCACGTCCTACGGTGCGACCCCATGGCACGTCCCTTGGCACGTCGCCTGGCGCGTCCCTTGGGACGTTTCGCGGCGCGTCCTCCTGGCATGTCCCCCTGTCAATTAGCTCTGGGGCAGCTACTATGTGTTCAGGCAGCTCGAGCTTCAGATCCAGATCAGTTCGGTCAGGACTCGGATGCAAAGGAAGACTCGATCCACGATGCTATAGAGCACAACCGCGGCATGGCACATCGCAATTCAGCACGGTGCAGCACAGCACAGCCCTCGGCACGGTACATCAAGATCGATACAATCAGCATTGCACTTGCCCGTCACCCTATCAGGTGTCTTTGAAAACATTGCCATGCGTTACATTTCTATATTCCTTTCGGGGTTCGTGGGTCGATCATGATTTTTTCCCGGAAAGGGCTCCGGCCCAGGGTTCTCTTTCAGCTGTTTACCCGCAGAACTGACGGCTCTAGGGCAGGCGAAATTATTTGCGATAAATTACGAGGTCGTTTTGGGCTGGCGAATTTTTGTTTGAGGATGTCTTGAGCGAAACGCTTGTTCGCGGAAAGGGCTTAGGTCCAGGGTTCTCTTTTAGTTTGTTTATTCCCGGTTTTGACTTGAGGCGAGCCGGCTAATTTCTTTTGCGATAAATATCGAGGTCGAGGTGGGCCGGCGAATTAAATTTTCAGGTTGTCTCGAGCGAAACGCTTGTGTTTCAGAAATTGTTGAGGATGTCTCGAGCGAAACGCTTGTTTTGTGTTATAGAGTGTCCTCTCCTGGGGACCTGAATTCAGAGGATCTCTCAAGTGAAATGTTTGTTTTCACGTGCCCAGGTCTTGAGGATGTCTCGAGCGAGACGCTTGTTTTCACGCCTCCAGGTTGCCCATGCAGATGTCTAGCATGAGGATATGTTGAGGATGTCTCGAACCAGAGGCTTGGTTGTAAAGACGATTTGTGGAGGTTGGCTCACCTCCGCGAGGCTGCACGTCCATACAGGGGTGAGCGAATGTCTTTTCGAGTGCGGGTGCGAGCAGCAGCGCGACACCTTCGCTCACTACCTTCGTTGCCCTATTCTTTGGTCGAGGAGTGTCGCTAGTCTAGTGGACGCTCCGCAGAGCGTCGCGTCCAGACTCGGGCTGGATGGGGCGCCGACCATCGAGCAAGTGTAGTCGATGGTTCTTGCTTTTCATTGTTACAATTCCATGCGTGCTCGGTCTCGCCCTGCGGAGGTTGAGATGAGCACGTATCTGTCCCAGATTCGACGGGCAGCGATGGCGCTCGTCGATGCATCTCGTGCGCTGTAGGCTCTCTCGAGACCCTTGTGGCGCCTCTTTGTACGAGCGACGTGTCCAGGTCGCCCCGGCGAATGTCTAGCATGAGGATGTGTCGAGGAAGTCTCGATCGAGACGCTTGTTTGCACGTGGCCAGGTTGCCCAGGCGGATGCCTAGCATGAGGATGTGTTGAGAATGTCTCGAGAGATACGCTTGTTTTCACGTGTCAAGGTCGCCCGCCGTACCATTTTGGCTCAAGTCCGGATTGTTTCTCTCAGACTTGTCCGTGGGAGGCGCGGCCCACGGTATCTCTCGTGCGCCTCTCACGGGCGTAGCCGCTATCTCATATCTAACGACTGTACTGAGGCCACCGCCTCTCGACTTTTCAGTCACGTCTCGTTTCCCGTGCTTCCTGTACTCGCAGTCATGGCTTCCAGTTCTGTTGCTGCTTCTCAACCTGCTGGTTCTCAAAGGGTTGCCCGTCGCAAGTCCAGACGCCCGCAACGGGCCACTCCCGCAGCCAGCGAGAGGTCTCACACGGATACCCCTGAGGGCAAGCGCACCAAGACCCTTGACGAGGACGGCTGCGACGGCGACGTGCTGGTGGATGGTCTTGGGGCCGCAGGTCTTATTGATCCTCTGCGGGCCCGCGACCCGTGGGATGCCGCGAACAAACTTGGGGAGTCCGACAACAACGTTGGTGGCACAGCTACTCCAGTCGCTCCCGACCCCAACGCTTTCGTGTGCAGATTCGAGGTGGAAGCTTTGGTGGCGGTTCTTAAGCTCGATCTCCTGTCCTCTGTCAACAACTCCTCGTCTGCGCTGGCGACCCAGCTGGCGGACAAAATGGCTTCTCGGCTGCGCAAGTTCGCGGCGCAGCAGGAGGCCTAGCATGAGGAGACTGCTCTTCGTCTTCGGGAGCTCAACCAGAGGCAAACGTCTCTGGAGCAGGCTCATATCAAAATGGCTGCTGAAATAGATCGTCTCAAGCACACTCTCCACATCTGCGAGCAGGCCGCTCCGCAGTCGGACTATGCCGACGTCGCGGGCTTCACGCGGGAGCCCAGTCGCACCTGCTTCGCGGCCACCGCGAAGGCTGCGATCTCTTCTTCCAGTGTCAAAGAGGCTGTTCTTCCATGGCTGGAGGCCGCTGGCTTCAAGGATGACCAGTGGCAGGTCGTGGGTGACTCTCCTTCTCGGCGATATGTGGTCGCTTTCAAAGGCGCGCCTGGGCTGGCTTCGAAGCACGTCGTCCACGCGCATAAGGCCCTCGAGTTGCCCGACGGTGGAGGTTGGCGTAAGTTCGAGGCTCGCGATGCCGAGTCCCAGGTGCAGGAGCTCTTCATCAGTCTTGACAAGAACGGGCAGCAAATCCGCCGCGAGATCCAGTGCAACAGGCTTTTCGAGCTCATCAAGAGCGCCAACCTCCCAGGGCGATGGCGGGCCAACCGTTCCCAGGGAGTTGTGTTTCGAGCCTTGACCCCTGCGGTATGCCATGGTTGCTGCCTTCAACAACCTATTCGGGGAAGCAGAGAAAGTTGCATGGAGTCTTTAGCCGCCGCTTTGTCCCGGCGAAGGCGCCTAGTGAGCTGATGGCCCCGCTGTCGTTTGCGACGTGGAACGCTCGAGCATTGTTGCACCGCGACCTGCGCATGCGGCAGCACAACATGAAGTACTTGTCCCAGTTTCTCTCCAAGGGAACGATCATGGCGCTGCAAGAGGTCCACGCCGCGGAGTTGGAGCTTCAGCAGGACTTGTTCAAGCTCCACATCCCACACCTGGATTTCTCTTCTTTCGGTGCGCAGCGAAACACTGGCGAGGTGGCTATTATCATACCACGTTCTCAGAGTGGTGTTCATCAGCGGGCAGAGTTCTGGCACGAGGAGCTGGTGCCCGGAAGAATTCAGAGGCTTCGCATTTCCAGCGTCAGTCACAACACCTGTCCATCGGCGTCTACAGTCATCTACAATGTTCACACTTATAATATATCGAGACAGCAGGTGCAGTCGCTTCGGCAACGGGTCGCTCGCGACGTGGCGCTCGCCAACATGGCGCCCGATAGGATCTCGATCATATTCTTGGGGGACTTCAATATCTACGCTGCTCTGCCCATTTATCCGTGCTCCTGAGATCGACCGTCGTAGGCCTGTCTCGGACGTTGCACCTCATGTGGCCGGAGCTGTTTGGAAACGTATTTTCGCTCTGCTCCTCGAGGTGGACAATGAGATGCCCACCCGCTATGTCGCACAGGAGGGGCAACAGCCGAAGCTGACGCAGATTGACCGTGTCTTTTTGTCGTCTCAGAGTAGGGAAGCTATTCGATGGACGGCGTCGGTCTCCACTCCTGATCTTCCTGAGTTTCTTTTTGAAAAGGGCATTGGCGATCATTCCCCTGTTGTGCTTTCTCTTGCGCCGCGGCCAGCGGCGCATCCAGACACTCAGCGTATTTCTTCTTTTATCGTCCAGGATCCCGACTATGCTCGGTTCATCAAGAATATGGCGTCGGAAGTCGACTGGTAATCTCTCACGGCTGCGTCCAAGCGGAGGGCCACTAAACATATCATGAAGGAGTCTGCGAGGATGGTGCGTTCTCGTTTGGTTCGCAACCCTGAATCGACGGAAGCGAGACTCATGGTCTTTCGCTCTGTGGCTCGGGCGGTGTTCAGAGATGACGTGCGGCTGGCGAGGCGACTACTGCCCTCGTCGTCTCTTGCTCGTGAACATGCGCACGTGGAAGGGGGCCTAGTAGAGCTACGTGGCACGATCGCATTTGCGCGTGCGTTCACTCTCGAGCAGCAGGCTTTCTCAGAGGAGCGGGAGGCGACCCTGGCTCAGCGTGAGGCTCGGGCCAAACCCGACGCTGCTTCCATCTCATTCATTAATGCTCAGCGTCGTGCGCTGCGCAGGAGGGCATCGCTGTGGGCTCCCTTTGCTCGGGCGCTCAAGCTTCAAGGCATCCGTCTCCCTGGCGACGGTGATGTGGTGGACTCTCAGAGTGACATGATCAGTGAGCTGCGCCGCCACTGGGGTCTTGTTTTTCAGCATAAGCCGAGGTGCTCCAACTGGGAGCAGCTCTCGGATAAGCATCTCGAGAAGTTCGGCACCCAGTTTGATTTCTCCGAGGTGCTCCCTCCGGCGGCTACTCAGCTTATGGAGGCGGCTCGTCGTGCTCGGCCGTCGGCTCCTGGGCCAGATGGGTTACCGTATGAGGCGTGGCGCAGGTCGCCGTTGGGCTTGCAGTCGCTGGAGGGAATCGCCCTCGAGCTTGCCGCTGGTCTACCGCCGCCGACGGATTGGCATGAGCATCTAATGGTTTTCTTACCGAAGGGGGGGGGGGGGGGCTCGGGCGACACGGCCGGGGCCTTCAGGTCGGCATCTACTGCGAGAGCGTTGGCGCGGAAAAA